GTCCTCTCAATGAACGGCGTCCGTCAAGTCAAGAAATCTTCTTTCTCCTGAAGATTTCTTGACTTGGCAGCTTGTTGTACAGTGATTTCAAGTTACTGGTACATTAAAATATGACATGGAGTGAATCCACACATTCATACACTGAAGTTAAGTTATCTGTTACATTAGCAGCTTACTGACATTTTCCTGACATTTTCCAGATGGGCTAATGTCGGATTGATTTGCTTTGGAAATTTTCCTGAACTTCTCTCCTGGGTAAAATATCCAGAAAAATATCAGGGTGAGCGCACGTGAGACACAGCGGGAACATATGAGTGACTTTTCTAACACGTGAAACTGGAAGAGAACAAACGAAAGAGGACTCATAAAAGTAGAAGACAAAGACGTCCTCCTGCTGCTCTACCCAGGCTCCACCCCTCGCCTCATTGTGACGAACATTTTTATTTTACGAGTCTGACCGAAACAATCTCCCGCTCCGAGACATTTTCCGATTTTGAAAACGGTTGTTGAAAACTACTCTAGTTGATGTTACACGTTTTATTTTATTTGCATTATGATGTTATCGACTAATTCCTTGAATATATAGAATTATATATATGTTGAATTACTTGCTGAACAATAACTTCCAAATTAATTTATATGTCAGAGAATATTGTTGTATATTATATATTTGGCCTTGATAAGCACAATATTAAAGATGCAGTGACTGGAGTAAACACATTTACAACCATGCAGGTTACCTCACACTCAATTTGAACAGGGTTATAATGCATGAAAAATGGGATTAATGTAATACAAGGTTGTTTTTTAAATGTGATGTTGCTCGTATGATGAATTGGAGACTGAGGGAATGTGTCCGTTTGATCGACTGCTTCTTTGGTGTTTGCAGATGGAGCTGGCCGACAGGACGTGCTCGGACTAACGTGGATGGCTCTTGTCCTCACAGTGACAGTGGAACTGACGTGAAACCGCTCATGCAAGACACTCACTCACACACACACACACACACACACACACATGCACATGCACATGCGCCCCCTTCTTACACAACATTCATATATCCACACATGCACACACACACACACACACACTTCCCACAATCCTGCAAGCCTTCTCCAGTCATCAACAGACCCTCCATGCGTCAGTCGATCAGGAAACAGCGCCGCCACAGGATGGCGCTCCACTGTTTTTGTAAGAAAATGTAACCAAGATAAATGATATCAAAAGAACAACGTGATGAACATGACAATAACCACCTCCTATATAGCCCTGCCCAGTTACACCTTTTTGTTTCTTGTCCCACGTCTGCCTGTTGATCAATAAAATCCGTTGGTTTGAAACCGAAAAAGAAAAAAGAATTTGGATTTTATTTCGATGGGTCCAAATGTCATTATTGGTGTTTGACTGAAAAAGTGGAACTGGCTCAGGCTGCGCCACCATATCAACCAACCACCTGTCTGTTACATGTCCTGGGATGAACCTGATTAGCAACACGCTGACAAAGGAGAACAAACACAGATGCTCCAAGAGAACGTTGTTTTTTTAATAATATACAGCTATTCCTTTTTTTCCCTGATGGCTCGGAATGTACAAGAGGATTTATTTGCATTGAGAAACTAGTGAAGAAATTCTCCTTTTTGAGTGTATTTTGTGTACATCCGTGTAAATATTGAAAATAATTACAGAGGTTATATGGGTTACGGTGAGGAATGGTTGCTGAGATAGTTCGGAGTTCTCCACCTCACTTCTCCACCTTTGTTTGTGCGTCATTCAACACTGTTTTCAACGATGATTCTTGGCTGAAAGGACAGAAACATTAACAGACTTTCTGTTTCTCATTTGGGCTTTTTATATCTATATGGCAGGTCTCCAAGGACAGAATAAAAAAAAGAAAAAAAAAAAGATCCAACATATGTCTGCTGTTTTGGGGTTGTGGTGCATGTGATGTTTGAGGATTCTTTCTCCTTTTGGTGTGTTGCAATTGACAGCACTGCAACTCATTGTCACTGGCCTGTAATCCAGTTATTTACTTGTGACATACTATCTTGAGTGACCTACATTGTGTACAATACGTAACTCTTACCCACACATTTACAGTAGTCGGATCATTTTAGCCGCCATCCCAGAGACGAGCTCACCCGAGGCAGCGTGTGTAAACAGGGTTGTTGCATTTGTTTCATTTCACCTGTATTAAAATGGAGAGATGACGAAACTCACACGCCTTGGCTTTACTTCAAACACTGTGTTTGACATGTTCAGTCGTAGATCTGCATCTTCCAGCAGATTAATGTTGGGTACAGGTGATATACTAGGATGCAGAGTTGAGGGCACTTAAAAAAAAGTTGTACTAATACTAGAGTAAAGTCAGAAACTGACATGTGTTACATGTGCATCCTGTTCAAAGGGATTTCATCATTTCTTAAAAAACAGTGAGATTGGTTCAAGATTTTGGATCCAGAAGAGTTTAACTCTGGTGAAAACTGGTTCTCCTTGCTGCTTATATCCTAAAAACTTAATTTGTCTTTATTCCTGTGATATTATCATTTTTTCTCATTAAATTATGATTCTCGTACTATTCTGACTTTTCCTCATTGAATTACAACTTTATTCTTGTTATATAACTTTTTCTATTTAAATTAAATTATAAAACACGTCAATTTTATGAGTTTTTCTTGTTTATTTACAGCTTCTTTCTCGAATATCATGACTTCTGTCTCATTTAATTATTACTTAATTGTTGTAATATTATTACTGTCTTCTCATTGAATTACATCTTTATTCTCATATAACATTACTCTCCAAATTTAAAAATGTTTTCTTCAATATGGTCCAAATACTCTCTCGTAACATACATCTCTGATACTGTGCACGCCGACATTCTGTCAGGAAACTTAATTTTATTCCTCCTCTGCCACAAGCAAATTCCCCAAATGCCTTGGTTTCGTATATTTCTGATTGTTCTGACCCTGACGAGGCTGTTGAAGGAGATTCAGACGCTGCTTTTTACCCTCTGCAGTTCACACTCACTCACACACAGTGAAGAGTAGCTTGATGCAAAGTAATCCTGCATTTTTTGGACTTCACCAGAATTTCAATTGAAGCCATTCTAAGGACACAACATGTATTAAGGGATTAAGGTTTAAACCAGGTGGGAGGTAAGAGCAGAGATTTTCAAAGCTTAAGCGAGTAGAAGGGACAGACCTATTCGTTTGGGATATCGACTCACCTTGCCAAGGTACAATCCATATTCCTGTATTCCAGAGATGAGAGCGGCACAGCACAAACATTATAACAGTCACAGACACAGAATTTTATTTATTTATTTTTTGCAGTGAGGGAAGCAAAGGGCGCAAATCTTTGTCCAGCAACTGTATAGCAACTCAGCTCGCATTTTAATTTTGATTCAAGAGGCTCTTGTGCTTTTTTTGCTTTTATCACTCACTTTGCATTCAAGGAAGGAAAAACACTTCTGTCTCTGAATGCATTAGAGAATGTAGAAAATTGTCTCTGCTTAATCATAATAACAATGGAAGAAGTACATCATAGGTTGTTGTGCGTGTACGTACGTGAATGTGCACATTTATAGTTAATTTTTCATAATTGGTAATGTAAGGAATGACAGATGATGGTCTCAAACTACTGAATTTGATTTATTCTGTGTAAGTGACTTCATGTTTCCTCAGCCATCTCCATAGTTGTTATTGAAATATGTCAAAGAAAAGTGGTACTTGTGTTATTTTCTTGTTCAGTTACATGCTGCACACATCCTGGATGGCACAAGCAAAAAATAAGAGAGAGTAATGGCCTCTACACAATAAAGCACATGGTTGAAAATCATGATTTTCTTTCCCTTTGCTGTTCTGAATAGTTCACATGAGCTGGGAGCAATAGTGAGTATAAAAAGAAGCTGCCTCTATGGCCCATCTGTGAATTATTCACGAGTCAACCGTGCTTGCAGAATCCAGTTTCCTTTATGTCGTCTGCGGGCTCAGTTACCAGATGACTAAACAGCGCCTGTGTCAGCGAGGACACCTGACACACCCTCTGTAAGCCTCTCCACGTGATGCAACTCAAAATGCCCCCACAGAGCGTTGTTAAAACCAACACTGCTCTGCTGTTGACCACAGGAATCACTGGAGTGTGTTATCAGCGACACAAATGACAGCCTGACAGCGGTGACTGAGATGACACGGCTCCCATGTGTCAGAGATGTATGTCTGCATCTCACTATAGCGAATGGAAATGAATAACAGTGTCAGGGTTTCTCTGTAGACGCTCTTTCCAACTGGCATCCTTCAGACTGTTTTGTATTATTTACAGTGCTATGTGTGTGTTTATAATACCAAGTGCCATTTAGTTGTCCGAGAGCAATCCTCAGCTCCTTTTAAGTGCGTCTGCACTGGCACAGAGAAGGACCTTTGATCTGTGGCACGGTTGTGCAAACAGATGTATCCTGTTTATTAAGTATTTGATAAATGTCACTTATCATCCCTCCCCACCCCTTATTCAAACCATGTTTTTTACTCCAGCACCTCCGGCCGCGTGTTTGAGGAAGTTAAGGAGCGTGATCTGTCATAATAATTTTACAGACATTTTCAAAACTCCACAAAAATAGATTATGACCCGAGCGACTCCTGTTTACACCAAGCAGAAGAGAGTTAGAAGGTGTTTTGGATTGTTGTGGGAAAAGCTTGCATGAGTCATCAAATTTTCTTAACCAAATATTGATCTATTGGGTATTTCCATATTCTGTGTAAGGATAGTCATTTTGAACAGGTGGTGCGTGACAAGCACCCCGCCTCCTCAGAGGGAGGGATGCAAATAGCAGCCCTGCAGGTATCATTTTACACTTGTTCCTTTGGGTGAAGAGGAGCAGTCATCAGATCACAGCAGCTCTTACAATGAAAACCACACAGCGTGCTCCGTTCAACTGAGATGCATCGACAACAACATTGAAAAGGATCAGTCAACCGATTGTCGCCATCATCCCCGCTACAGCTATGCCCATTGCAGAGCTTTTGGGGGTCCAGCTCGACATGCAGCTACTGTTGAAACTGGGTTTCTCGTTGGCTGCGGTGCTGCTCGTTTCTTGGGCCTACAGGTTCTACAGCTCCAGGGATGCAGAGAAAATTCAGCTCTGCTCCAAAGAAGACAAAGGGGCACAAAATGCAACCTGCCGAAACTGCAAGACAACACTGGGATGTCAAAGCTCGCCACAACATGACACTGATGATGGGGGCCAGCAACCCAGACCCTCACCCACAGACTCGGCCACTGATGACCTGACATCTCACTGCGAAGAGGAAACAGCAGCAGAGAGCTGTACACACCACGAAAAGAGGGAAGATGCATCTCGTACGTCGCATAATGACCACAAGATCAGCATGAAAGTAGAGACGCAGACAACGGTTGCCACCAGTAATAATTCATCTGGATCTGCTTTGAACATTCCTGATCCAACAGAGAGTGGGATGGCCAGTGCAACAGGACGCCGCTCCCCGTGCTTTTTGCAGAAGCTGGAGGGCAGTGTGGGTGTGGGCAGGGAGTTGAGGCAGGACTTGGAGCACCAGGGTGCCTATTCCAGCTTCCTCTCCAAGGCAGAGATCAAAGTGGAGGATGCCAACGTGCTGCTGGAAGGAACAGGAGATCAGATTGTGCGTGGAAAGATATATGATTACTACGTGGAGTCTTCCTCTCACTCTGTTACTGACTCAAACACTGTGCTGGGTCAGTATGAGAGGAGCTCTGAGCCACAGCCAGTGGAGTTTGGAAGCCGTGGCAGCAGTCTGACAGAATCTCCTTCCTCTCTGAGCCCCATCGTTATGCGTGATCTGGTTTTCCCACAAAGCACTGTTGAGGATCTCTCCTCACTAGGAGGCTGCCAGCTACGGCACCCCACAAGGCCTGCACTCCTACGAAATGAGAGCTATCTGTCTGCAGCAGAGCAGTGTGAGCTTTCCATCCCCTTTGTAACTTCAGCAGCTTCAACTCCAATGATTCACTCTCTGGCCTCAACGAGCAAGGAGCCCATCTCTGTTCATGCTATGATAAATTCCTCTACAGACAGCAAAGGCCTTTGTGTGAATAAGGAGGCTGATCTGGAGACTGTAACAGGGGCTCCATTTGTACACCTTCCAGCAAAAACCCTTGATGGCACAGATTTGGAAAGCTTGAAGAGCACACTTGATCTGGGTAACTGTTTGGAGACGCTCTACCTGGCCAAAAGACATGGCCAGACCTCTTTGCAGCAAGCAGCCCTGGGGGTCATGTCAGACAACTACCTCCAGGTGCTCAGGGACCCTAATATTTATGGGCGACTAATGGCTGATGAGCGGGAACAAATCCAGAAGCAAAGAATAAGGGGAAGAAGATTCATCATGGTGGCAGATATGAACCCTCAAGACTGGACGAAGGACACAGGAGGACAGAGAGCGGAGACAGAGCCGAGGAGGACGTCCAGTGCACTCTACTATTATGATGACAACAAAGACTGCTGGCAAACCCTCGGCCTGATCCCACAGGAAGTCATCTCGAAAGCCTGCGCCATGTGCACAATGGATAACTACTTATTTGTGGCGGTGGGCTGCCAAGGCATAGACAGAGAAATGACGCCCTCAAAGCGAGTGTTTTGCTACAATCCTCTGACATCCATTTGGAAGGAGATCAGTCCCATGAATGAGGCCAGACCACGGTGCAAACTGGCAGCACTGGAGGGCTACATCTATGCCATCGGAGGGGAGTGCCTTTCCTCAGTGGAGCGCTATGACCCACGATCAGACAGATGGACATTTGTGGCTCCTCTGCCTAATGATACATTTGCTGTGGCACATCACGTCACCGTGTGCAATGGAGAGCTTTTTGTTTCTGGGGGGACTCTAAGATATATGCTGCTGCGCTACAGCCCCAAAACAAACACCTGGAGGCCAAGCCTGTTAGTTGGCAGCAAAGACAGAACTGCAGATTTGGTGGCCGTGGGGAGATTTCTGTATCGGTTTGATGTTAACCCCCGGTTGGGCGTTAGTGTGTACCGCTACCATACAGTGGCTCGACTGTGGTACGAGTGCAGCTCAAGACGGCTCCTGCGCTGCCCTGTCTTTCAGTGCATCATGATGGATGACTTGATTTATTGTGTCAGCCGCCAGTTCACCATGAAGTTCGAGGCTGATGAGATCTCTCCTGCTTTCACAGATGAGGATTTGAGTGTCCTCTCTGCAGCCAAGGGCATACTTTTCCCCTTTGTCCTCTCACTGCCTGATAAGAAGCCTCGGCAGACCAGTGTGTAGCAAGACTTCAGTTTTCCATTGATGATAAGATTAGGTGATGATGGAGTATCCCTGCAGAAGCTTTACATCAACTTTCTTGTTGACTGAGTGGGTTTGGCTTCAAATGTTATCGTAACCAATGTTCTCATTTCTTTTAGTTGTTTACAAAGCTTTTGCTTCTCAAATTGTCATTTATTTGAATTGGGTATTGCACAAAGAAATGTTTGTATCTTATGCCTTGGCGTCCTGACAGTACCTCTCTCTCTTTATCTCTCTCTCTCGCTCTCCCTCTCTTCTCTCTCTCTTCTCCCTCTCTCTCCTCTGCAGAGATAATTCATAAGTGTGTCTCGAAGTAAATGAGTTCATTCAACTCTAACACATTACAGAGATTGGGCATTGTAGTCATAATCTATCACTGTGCAGCATGTAGGGCACAAATATAACTTACACAGTGGCCTGAATCCAATGCAATTATGTACAGTTGCTCTTTAAACATGACAGGATGTAAATGGTATGCCACACAATATAAATATATGGGCCTCTACAAGCGTTTGTCACAACTTTTCATCACTGTCTTTGAAGGAAGAACTGTATTATTCTGTGTTTATTGTACAAAACTAAATACCTTTGTTTTGGGGAAATACATGGATTTGCTTTTCATTGCATATAAATTTATATATTCAAGGTGCACATTAAGCCAAATGTATATTTTTTATTGTTGAAGTGTTGAGAAATTACATTAACAATGAAAAATACTGACTCCTTTGTGGTTTGTACATTTGCAAACAGGTCTCTCACTGAACACTCTGGAACATTCAGTGCTTTATACACGCTGACAGGTTTGAGAGCGTGACATGCTGCTATAGCGCCATCATGTGGCTCAGGCGGCAAACACACCATTGCTTTGTTGAACACAGAGGTGTCATGTGACGTGCAGGCCTCAGCAGCACAGTGGAGTGACTCTAACAGTGGGTGAAGCTGAGGGCTTCAGCTGCACTGGAAGGCAGCAGGCGGGCGGGAAAACCGGGAGGCAGACGCAGATGGTTGACCATCAAACATAAGCGTCTTTGATTCTTCCTAATTAAACACTTTGATTCCCTGTAATTAAACACCTAATGGAATGGGAGTTGGACATGTCCCTTCAGACACTGCCTTGGAAGCTTCATGGCTTCTGCTGTGCCTCAATACTCAGGTCAGCTCTGGCATCAACACTTGTTTTATCCCTTTTTACTCGTCTTTCTGTTCTTTTCTTTTTCTCCTCCAAGTATCCAGGGAAATGCTTGACAGGCCTTCCTGAGTTTCAGATATTAAGTGTGCGGAGAGAGAAAGAATTTGCATGTAATTATCCTCTGGAAGGGTGAACATAATTCATAGCCCGCTCCCTTCTGCTTAGTCTTGCACACAGACACACACTCATATTCATGTATATAAACAGTAAAGTATACTCTCCACACAGCACACAGTGAATCTACAGTAGTTCTTGCAGCAACATAACGAGAATTATGTTTAATTCTTTCGATTGCTTCAATTGCTAATTTCCCAAATGGTCCATTCTTCTTTTTTTCTTTTTTTTAATTTAAGGAATAAAAGTGAAAAACCACAAAGCAGCACCACTTTGAGCAGGGTTTCTAAATTAACAAGCAGCATGTGAGGTAGTTCAAAAGCTGCATCTCTAGGCCTGTTGTGACGGCTAACGTCCACTCAAACAATGATCGGGGACTTGTAGCAGCGAGCGACGTCTCAGATCCAGATCCCTGTTGTTGTGATTGGCTGCATGAAGGTGGCTGGAGAGCGCGCGTGAGGCCCTGGCAAAGCGGCTCTGGCAGAAGGCGCTAAGTGGATGACTCTGGTACGCTGACCTGTACACAGTCATTAACGGGAGGTGTGACTGCTGCTTTTCCACACGACGCCTTGCAGACCACGGCAAGCCTAAGTTGGTTGGGTGGTCTGGAAGGGAACATGGAGAAAGGGAAAGTTAACTGCCAGGTTAGTGTGGCCATTAATTACACTGGTGACTGATTTTGAACAATAAAAGGCATCCGGGGCCACACACATTTAATTGTTCATGAGCACAACTGCTTGTCCATACAAAATTAATGCCTGGATGCTTCCCCCCCATGTATAATTTTAAAACTTTGGGCGCTGGTGGCACTTTAACCTGTCGTCTTACCAGGAATTGGCTGATTAGACATCTCGGGCTGCCATGTCGAGCTTCCTGGACACCAGGGTTGCAGAGAGGGCAAAGTGTTCGTGTGCTCTCTCCCGTAGCTGTCTTCATATTGTGTGACCAAGTAATGAGAGGATGTTGGATGGCAATGGCCAAACAGCTGCTTGGATGGAAGCCCCTGGAAAACAATGTACAGCAGCCTCAATGTGCAATGGCCTTTGCTGGATTAAGATATAGAGGACACAGCCTATTCTTTTCCAATAATCTTCAAGGGGCTCACCATGTGACAGTGGCAAATTGCTCTAATTCAAATGCCCCCCAGGACTGATGATTTTACACATTTTTCACGACTGCTGAGTCCGACCAGAAACTTGCTTTCAAACCGTTTTATCACAGACCTTTATCTTGGCTCTCAATATTATGCAGAAGTGGTCACAATCTGGAGGAGAAAGCCCTGACTTGCAGGGTTGTGACAAGCATTCAATTGGTGTTAATGCCATGAATGAGCAGTTAAAGGCTGACCTCAGCTCTCAGCAGGGCATAGCCTCTCTCAGAGACGTCTGGCTTGAAGTCCCAGTGGGGCCGGTAGTCTACGCGATTGGTGCTTTCGGCCGTCTTTGGCTCTCGAGTGAACTGTGTCGAACAGAATAAACAGACATCGCAAAGAGGAAATGAGGAGAATGGGGGGGGGGGGGCAGGGACTTGAGCAATGAGCCTAGCGCCGGGATCAGCAAAGCTCACACTTCACTATCGATCTGCGCTGTTGTACAGTGTTTCTTAGGTCATTTCTCCTGCCTGATCCTCAACCAGCAGCCCATGGCCGAACCTGGCGCTGGTGCAATTAGTCTCCTGCTCAAGCCTCTGCCACTGAGAGGCTGTGCTGATGAAGCTGAACTAAGGCTGCCTAATCACTTTGCTATAGATTTGACTATAAACTGAGGTGCTACAAAACATTTGGCAGACAACATCTCCGTACACACCTTTTACCAACATCCGTCCTGAGAGATCCGATCACAAGTGGCCAGTATGTGTGTTCACACCTGGCATTAAAATACGTCCTGAATGTGTCTCCTGTGACCATGTGTGATCAGATCTCACTTACCTGCTCTGCATGCAAATCAACACATACTTCTTTTGTGTTTGTTAAGAGAAAACCATGTTGTTTTGAGTCATTCTGAGTTTAAAGACGTGTCCAATGTCACTGTGTGTGTGTGTGTGTGTGTGTGTGTGTGTTGGTGTGTCGACAGGGCGAGTGAAAGAGAGGTAGAGAGATCAGTCAGGAGAGTCTGAATGAATCTTGTGCAGCTGTGAAGAAAGATTTTACCAATTTAATGAAAGTATCTATCGATATTATCACTCTGATCAGTTGCTCCTGGATTTTCGTTGGTCGAGGCTCAGGGGATAAGGATGATCAAGTGTTCGTTGTAGCCCCTCCACAGCCTGGAACAGTCCAACCTTTTCCAATTATAAGTTATAATTAAATATAAACTGAAGACTCACATTACAGTAAGGCTTTTAAGTGTCCTTCAGATGTTTTTATCCACATCATTGCATTTTGATGTTATTTTTTCTTTTCGTTTGTTTTGCAGCGTGTCTTCTTTATATTTTTCAGCACTTTGATCAACTGAGGCTGTTTTTAAATGCTCCATGTACTTGACGAAAACAAATCTTCACACTAGCCACAGGCTTAGAATGAACTTTTAGCCGATTTTGCATTAAAAAATAAAGGTACAATAATTACAAATGTCCTACCTGAAGTCTTTCTTCTGCCCAGTTTCCCACCAGCACTTTGTTTCCATACTTCTGCTCTATTCTCCATCCAGTCTGGGCCCATTTATCCTCCAGCTTCTCTCTGTGCTTCATACTTTACCTGGTGTCAAACAGGCCCAACCAGGTTAAATCTGCAGCCGTGTTAGAACGTGGTTAGCTGTTCAAACAGAAAACATGTAGGTGCATTCACCTGACTGCCTTAACGGCAGAGGCAGCAGAGGAGGAATAGAGTAGCTCTGTTGCCATGGATACAGCAAACACTGAAGGCGAGCAGAGTATCCTGGAAGCAAATACGAGATGGCTCACATCTGTGTTCAAAGACGATACACTCCTTAAGGCCGGGGCATGACATTTAGCTTCTAGCATTATTCTCTGTATATTGTTAAAACAGTGCCAGGAATCGTCCCCAGACTTTGTGTCCTCAGGCTACTTTTCACTTTTAGAATGAAACAGGTTTTGTTTATTGGTTTTTTTGGGGGGGTGGGGGTTGGGGGTTGTCTTCTGTGAACAGTATAGTTTTAATAAAGAACAACACTCTGCCACTGGAGGCAAGTTTTGTTTATTAAACTGTAAAACAACAGAGTAAGTAGATAAAGTACAATCACGATCCTATTTATGATCTTCACAGTGTTTTCACATAGTTAACGATGCCGTCCACAGCCAACAGTGCGGAGGGGAAGCTGAGCCAGCCCTTGTTGAAAAAGTTAATCACACCGTGGAAACCATCGGTGAGGTGTTGCCAGATGACTTCTTTTTTCAGGTCCAGCAGCCGTTTCCTGTAAAGAATCCCATCATCCCTCAGGACATCAAACTCGCAGGTGAGAATGAACGTGGGCGGGGTTTTCTGAATGACAGCATCGTCTGCCAGTAAAGGTGAGACCTCGGGCTCCAAACCAGCTTTGATGGCGTGATACACCTGCCCATCGTAGTCTGGGGTCGGTTGCTCGCTGAAGCCTCGGGCGAGACACTCGGGAGGTAGGTTGGATGGGGAGAGCCACTCCTTGTAGCGCGGCCTCACCTCAGTTGGGACGTGGATGCCCTCCAGCACATCTTGGCACACAGACATGTCTCCACTGAGGTACTGCAGGAAGTAGAAAGCCATCCGGGCACGAAACAATACGGGCACTGCGTGATTTTGCTGGTATGAGGGCAGGTTGAAATCTGCCATCTGCAGGGCTGGGTAGATGAGGAGCTGGGCGCAGGGGGATGGCAGATGTCCGTCCTCTCTCCCCGTCAGCCTTTGGCACAGTGCTGCTGCCAGGTTAGCCCCAGTGCTGTCCCCTCCAACTGCCACTCTGCGAGAGTCCACGCTGAACTCCGCCTCGGCAACAGACAGGAAATGACACGTTGCTGTCTCGCAGTCGTCCAGCTGGGCAGGGTACCTGTGCTCAGGGGCTAATCGGTACCTAAGAGGGGTGAGGGCAAAGACGGGGGGACAATATGTTGCATTCTGGCGATTTGGTGGAGAAATGAAATGTTTCTGTGATGGGTGGAAATGTTTACGTACCCAACAGAGACGACAGTGGTATTAGACTTCATGGCGATGTGCCGACAGACTTCATCAACAGAATCTGTTCAGGAGCAGAAGCACATCACAGTTAACACAGAAATACCTCTGTCAGAACAATTTCTATTCTTCTCTCTTCCGACACTAATCCTCTTTTCTCTATTCAGGCAGCATATTATTAAAGAAGTCTGTACGATTTAATATTAAATTATATTCCTGGGTGGGAAGTAATGAACTTTAAATAAATCCTGTAGTTTATTTAGGTTTTTATTGAAAGATTTCTATAAAATTTAAATTTTATATTTCTGGTCTGGTTTCTCTGCAGCTTCACACTTAACATTCAAAAATATTCAATGTGACGAACTGTTAACAATCAAGTTGCCCAACACTTTATAAAATAAAGTAGTTAAATTCGAGCACCAACCTGACATAATACATTGAAATAAAGTATATTAATAAGAAAAAACAAAAAAAACATTGTCAACATTTGTCATGCTGAGTATTACTTTTATTTTATTTTAAGTGATGTGTACATTGTTTACCTATACTGCCCATCACCCATCCTCCTCCATGGAAATACAGGAGGCCTCTTCTCAAGCCGTCGCAAACGGATGTGGGTTCGTAGACTCGCACCGGCACCTCCGAAAACTTCAGGTCCTTCACTCGCAGACCTGCAGGAACCGGATTTAAGCGAGTCAGAAAACAGGCCGTGAACCATCGGATGAAGCTGACCTGATTGCAAAAGCCCAGACGATGCAGGATCCGGCCCTGGTGAAAGAGGAATCCGAGAATTATCAGAAGTGGGAGACAAGTCAAAAAAGAAAAGTCTGTTCTCAAAGTCAAAGTAAAAGTTATTCTCTCTGAGAAACTATATTTACCATGACAACATCAAAGAAGGGGAACACTCGACCTTGCTATTCTCGCACCTTTGTTAGACTTGATTTCTTATCTAAGAATTCTCTGATCTGAGCTTTATCAGATGCTGAAGGACAAAGAAAGGACGGCTGACAATAGCTTAAACATTCTATTTGAGTTTTTAAAATAATGCCCTGGCAGAGGCATTTTCCATTGCACTCAGGAAGAAGTTAAAGTAGTAATGAAAAAACTTAATTATAACAAATCCAAAAACATGCAGAAAACATAAAATAATAAGCACTAATGATTCCGCAGCTGCTGCAGTTACTCACCACAATTGCTATGCCAACAAACAAGCCATGAACTATGTGCAGTTTCCCACTATTTGCAACCCCACGAGGAATGTCTGAATTCATCAGCTCCGCGTACACAAGTCCAATTACCAGAAGGAGGAAGGCTGCAACTAGAGCAGCAAAGCCAATTATTAAAATTGCCGAGCTGATGTCCATGGTGTTGCCACTCTGCTCTGCTCAAGGTGAATCATTAGGAGTAAATGTTTTATCTACCTGCTTTCAGCCTATCTACCCCTCCCACATCTGCATGCAATGCATTCTGACCTTGGCTTCACTTAATGACATGCTTGGCTGCCTGTTGCCCGGGACTAAAAAATAATTATATCCTGAAACATATTTTATGGACATGTAATCAAAGTAAATACATGTTTCCCTAAGAAACCAAGTTGTTTGAGTATAGCACCAAATATTTTATGTGAATGGAGCAGCTTTTTAATTACTCATTCACTGCCCGATCAATAGTTTTACAAACATTTGCAGGATGTTGTGCTTTTATTGAGGAAATGTCTCCTGCTGCGGGAAGCACTGAGTGACGCTCCTTTTGTCCATTGTCTCATGAAAAGAAAATGTAGTGAGATGTTAGTGGAGACTGACCAAGAACACCCTCATCTGAACTTTCATTGCTGATCTGTAGATGGCAGTGATAGCATGAGCATAAATAAACACTGCCTTCTCAATTGTACCTATTTAAATTTTTTGCATTTTGCATGCAACCTGAAGACATCTGCAGCTCTCTGCTAATCATATCTTCAATCTTGTATCTGTTTTGTTTTTTTTGCAAATCTAACAACTTATTTTGTATTGCTTTAATTCTGCTGAAAATGCAAAAGTATAAGAGTTCCCAGTGCAACTTGACTTTGGCTTTACAATTCATAAATCCCAGAAATGTCCATAAATGAAGACAACATTTTGAGTCATGTTTTCCTGGAGTTCTTAGCAGTCTCCGAGAGCCTCGCCGCCGTCCCTAAGTAGCTGAGCTGCAGCACAAAGCCACCATTGTGAGGCTGCTCTTTAAACTCTTCCCCCAGTCGCTGAAAAAGCTTCGCATTCAGCGATAGCGAGTAGAAATCACAGCGCCAGGGCCAAAAATCACAGACTGCAATCTTGTCTGAGGCCCATGAATTCACGGGACACGTTTGGGAGGCATTCATGCAGTTTTCAGTGTGTCACCCTGACAAGCTTCCGTGACCTATTTTCCTAACTGCACAGAAAGATGTGTCCTGCTGCAGAAACACTGTTAACACAAGAACAACCGATGGCCCTTTGTACATCGAGCACATAGGAGAACCCTAGAAATGTAGGGACACACATTAACATATCAGCAAAGACTTTCTGAATGAGCACTCTACCATAGTGTGTGTATTATGTGAGCTTGCATTCTACAGTGAGGCACCTACACTTGTGAATCATGAGGATGCAAATTTCTTTCAGGCTTTTCAATGTCAGAAAATTTAGAGAGAAGAGACCAGAAGGGCCCAAGGGCACGTCAGCAGCTGTGCTTGTCATTATGAGGATTGATTCCAGAGTCTCTTATGTAAAGGTGATAACTTTAAACCAAACTTTTCCCAGTATCTTGTGTTTTGAAAAGAAGTCTCTGTCTATCTTCAGAACACACTGAAAGAGCTGGGATCGAACCTACAACCTTCAAGTGAATGGGTTATGTTTTTAATCGGCTCCTGCCCCTACCCACCCAGGTGAATGCACTAATGTGTTCTTCTCGTTTGTTGTGGCAGTCTAGTTGCTCTCCGCTGCACTTTTTTCTGGAGAGTGTTATGAAGCACATTGAACTTCTGCGTGTTTGTGTGCTTATTCTTTTTTACATGTTGGAAACAACATGCAAAAGTGATTTTATATCATGCAAGACACGTGAGCTTCTGACATGTGTGTGACACCTCACAGGACTCACTGGGAGAAAAGCAAACTCTTCTACTGACAATGGAAGAGGAGTCAATAGAGTTTTTTTAATGTGTTTACCAGCTAATTAACTCATTTTGGTGTTAATGAGGTCTATCTATCCTTCCATCTATCTATCAGTCAATCAATCTATAGCACTTTGTTTACTTATTTGAGTGTTTTGATTTCATTGGTTTTTTCTCAGTTGTGTTTGTTCAGTAAGTTGCTGTGATTGTTTGTTTGTTTACTTCATTAATGAGGGGGCTGGACTGAGGATTAGCTGAGCTCTCAGTCATTTGGGTGAAGTTGTCAAACACCAGAGTCTGATGCTCTTCTATGACAATATATATATATATATACAATATTTTTATTTCACATTGACTTATAACTGTCAGTGAGATTGCGACACCGGTGTTATTCTGTATGTGGAGTAACCAGGTTCAATTCCAGTCCATGAAATTACGCAGTTAAACTCATCCCTAAAGAGGTCGGGCACCCACCTGAGGCACAGTGGGGCGACGGCTGTGGGGGCCCAGAACCACAGATTGGAAACCACCGCTGTGGACAAATGGGGGTGGGGAAGAGTGCGAGTGCGCAGACGGGCACTGGAGCAAAGTATTCATCCCCACTTATCATGTCAATCAGGATTAATGCCAGTGCAAACCTCCCCTTTAGGCTCACCCAGGTCCTCTCAGTGGTGGAAGCGCAGGGGCAGAGCAGAGGCGGTGATATAAAGCAGGACGGCAACACAACGCCAGAGCGCAGCGCAGCGCACGACACTGAGCGTCGTCTGGACTTGTGCTTCACGTCTCGACCAGTAGTTGACAGCCAGGCGTAATGACTGATCGCTCACACATTTCCAGATCCTGATGCATGTCGACCAGAACATGTCAGAGCTCCTCGCGGTGGCACGGTTCCGCTGTCCGAACTCCTCTCCAGTGGATTACTCCTGCAACACTTCCCGAGGCTGCAGATGATCATTGTTGTGTGCATGCGGACAAACTTGCAGCAGCAGCAGCTCACGAGTCGGTGTTTGTGAACTGCTCTCATATCTGTGTCAGGCAATACTGCGCGTAAAAGTTGCAGCGTAAACATTACAGACTTGTCGGGCTGCGCCTGTGAGCACCGTCTCCGACATGGAGCTGAAGAGCGCGTGTCGCATGTTTCTTTTCCCGGTTCAGATGTTGTATTACTTAGTCAAGGCGAGTTTGTCCTCGCTGTTGCCGAGCAGAAAGAAGGACCTGGGCAAGGAGGTGGTATTGATCACCGGGGGAGGACGCGGCATCGGACGTCATCTGGCCAAAGAGTTTGCCAAGCAGGGAGCCAGAAAGGTAATTTCACCTCACTTCAGAACACTTGTTGCGCCAACTCTTTCCACAGACGCACACCAGGGAATCGTTGCAGTTATTTTGGCACGGCACGGTTCAGTTTGTGTCACAAGCAGCTGTGGTTGGGCTGCCTCCTCCCTCCTGCAGCCTCAGGTAACCTGGTCAGCCCATCTCCCCCCCCCCTCCAGCTTGTTCCATATGTTTTCTAAAAGCACTGATCAGGACATGTAACTGCTCTAGTTGGTCTCCAGTGAGACTGGAGACACAGCCCTCAGATTGATTGTGTGTTAAGTATTGCACAACAGCGCAGGTCAACCAGAGGACAGGTCTAGATTTCTCTTATGGCTGATAAATGTGATTACGCACGATGGGCTGACGTGTATTCTGCTGAGGTCTGGAGTGAATCTGGTGCGACTGACATGGATGAAAAATGTATTATCAAAGCCATTGACTGTGTGTGTGTGTGTGT